GATTTTGGACTTAGGGGCATGTTCGGATTGTATTTTGGAAGTTTGTAGCTCATTTAGACTTGAAATAGCGAAAGTCGAATTTTTGGAGTTTTGGGTAGGTAGTGGAATTTCTTTTATCGGGGTCGGAATCCGATTCCAGAAGTTGGAGTAGGTCCGTAGTATGAGTCATGACTTGTGGACAAAATTTGGGATCATTCGGATGAGGTTTGGTTGGTTTCGGCATCGGTTGTAGAATTTTTAAGTTTCAAGATTTTAAAGTTTGGATTGGAGGGTGATTTGTGATTTTAGCATTGTTTGATGTGATTTGAGGGCTCTACTAAGTTCATAGGGTGTTTTAGGATTTGTTGGTATGTTTGTTTGAGGTTCCGAGGGCCTCGGGTGTGTTTCGGATGCTCAACGGGTCATTTTTGGACTTAGAAGGATAGCTGATTTTTTCTGGTTTTTGTTGCAGAGATTTGTTCTTCGCATTCGCGAAGAGAAGAGCTGGGACATGAGAAGAAATTGCTCTTCGCATTCGCGAATTAGGGGACGCGTTCGTGAAGGTTTGGACTTCAGTGTATCGCGAACGCGTGAATGGCATCGCGTTCGCGTAGAGAAAATGGAACAGCTGGGACCTCAGGAATTTGCTCTTCCCATTCGCGAATAAGGGGTCGCGTTCGCGAAGGTCCTGGTAGCTGAAGCTACACGTTCACGAGAGGGCGCTCGCATTCGCGAAGAAGAGCTTATCTGGGAAGATTTAAAGTTTGAAAAACGAGGGTTTGAGTACATAACATAAAATTTGATTGAGAGCTCGGTAGAAGGCGAAATTTGGAGGATTTTCGGAGGAACTTTGTGGGTAATGATTCCTAACTCCTTTATGATTATATCCCACTAATCTACGCTTGGTTTCATCATTCAATTTTGGATTTGGGGTGGAAAATTAGGAAAATTTGAGAAAAGTTCTTAGGCCGAATTTTGGGGTTTTGATCGAGATTTTAGTATCGGATTTGAGTGAATTTAATATGGTTAGACTCATGAGTGAATGGGTGTTCAATTTGTGACTTTTACCCGATTCCGAGACGTGGGCCCGGGGAGGCTTTTTGGGCTTTTTTCTATTTTCTTGCCTTAGCTTTGATTTCATTAGCTAAATTGGTTGCTTATAGCTATATTTACGTTATGTAATTGATTTGTCTAGATTCGGGTCATCCGGAGCCGGATATTCGTGGAAAGAGCATTGTTTCATATTGAATTGAGCTTGGTTCGAGGTAAGTGGCTTGCCTAACCTTGTGTGGGGGAACTCCCCTTAGGATTTGGTACTGTTTGATATATGAGCGTCGTGTACGTGAGGTGACGAGTACGTACACGGGCTATTTATTGTAAAACTCCATCTTTCACTAAGTCATAAACCTGTTATCTCTTGTTTGAATTACATTAGCATATGTACTATCCTGTTTAGATTAGAAAAGCATGCTTACGTGTTTTAAATGCCTATTTGAACTTTGTGCAACATTTTTAGTGATATTACCTATTTTTCTTGGTTGGAACTTAATCCAAACTATAGCTTCTCTTGCTGTGACTGTTAATTATATTGGTTGAGTTGCATATTTACTTTGGGACTACGGAACGGTATTCCGGGAGATCCTCCTATACTACATATTTACTTTGGGACTACGGAACGGTATTCCGGGAGATCCACCAGCACTGCATATTTACTTTGGGGACTACGGAACGGTATTTCGGGAGATCCCCCTGCACAATTACGTCTGGGACTACGGGACGGTACCCCGAGAGACCCCCCTGTTGGTATTACTGTGTTCTGAGCTGTTGGCTTCTATTGAGTTCTATTCCTGCTAGATTTCCGTATTTATTTTACTGTAATATTTCCTTCTGTATTGTTTCATTATATTTATACCAGTAGGGCCCTGACCTGATTTCGTCACTACTCGACCGAGGTTAGTCTTGGCACTTACTGGATGCCATTGTAGTGTACTCATGCCCTTTCCTGCACATATTTTCCGTGTGCAGATCCAGGTACTAACTATCAGCCTCGAGTCTAGCTGTGTGGTTGCTGCTTCAGGAGACTTCAAGGTACATCTGCCTGCACCCGCAGACCTCGGAGTCCCCTTCTATCCCCTATGTTCATTATCTTCTTTTTGTAGAAATGATGTATAGAACAGTTAGGACTTCTTAGAAGCTTCTGACGTTGCGACATTTCGGGTTTTGGGAAAGATGATTATTGTATATGCCGAGTGGCACCGTTTTTGCTTATTAATTATATCCGATAGTTGTTATCCTTGTGTTTCATTTCATTTCCGTAATACTAGGCTTACCTAGTCGTAGAGACTAGGTGCCGCCACGACAGTTCACGGAGGGAGAAATTGGGTCGTGACACAGTGCAATTTTATTCTTGTTGATTGAAGAGAATTTAAGCTAAGAAGAAGATCTTTTATTTGTGTCTTGAATTCTGTGAATCCTAATTATGTCAGACTTCATAGTAACATTTAGAAACCTATTGTCCTTGTATAAATAGGTTCGGAAAACCTATTGTCCTTGTATTGTATGTTTGGGAAAATCATTGTCCTTGTAGGTTCGATGAATTATTCTCTTATAGGTTTAGTATCTACTTGAATTTATATATATATATATATATGAGTTGTAATTAGAGATCCTTTGTACGGAGTACTATTTTTCTCATTCAAAACTAAAAATCCTCTCTGCTTTTGCTACGAGGACGTAGGATTAGCCTCACCTCGTTAAACTCTTGTATTTTTTTCCTTCTATATTTTTTATGTGTGGTTATGTTAGTTAACTCACAATCTTCCGCTACAGTTACCACTTATGAATATTGTGGGCCATGCTTACTCGAGTTTAAAGTGGTCCATGTCCAACTAACCACTCTTTTCGTTTGGATGTGAGGATAATGTTAATTTGCTCCTACTTTTGTTTATAGTTTATACCTCCTTAGATCTTGAATAAAGAGAAGGCCCCATTCCAACTTTGCTGATACAGACTTCAATCGAATGCAGGACCTGATTCGATTCTAGTCCTAGTAGATAATTACTAGATTTATTAGTAAAGACAACCAGCATCTTACATCCTTTTTCCAACTGCTGGTGAGTGGTGACTTTGGTGCCAACTTTTATTTTTCTTTCAAACTTCAACACATCAACTCCAGCCCTGGAATAGTTTATCCTCAAAGAATGAGTAACATGGGCTATGGATTTGGTATCCTCTCTTTACTTTTCATTCTTTTGTTTTAATGATGCAGTTTGGATACACTATTATCGGCATAACATTAAAAATTCTGTACTATATAGGAAGGAAAGTTACGAAGAACATGACATTTTGGTTGTGCCGTGCACCCCTTACATGGTCAAAATGATGAAAGTTGAAAAAAGCAATATATGAGATATTCATATTAAAGATTGAGAAATTCGTTATTAGTCCAACTTTTATTCGTAATTATTACTTAAAATTTGATCATGATAATGTTTTATTGCGTGTCGAAGTGCAATTAAAGGCTCAAATTCCTTTTAATTCCTCAAACCGATTCTAACAAAATAAAAAGATAAAAGGTAAGCTGATGAAAAAAGCAAAATAGAGGGTTAAGACTTCCTCTTCCAAAAGAGTAAATGTGTAAACTTCACATTGTATGGGTCAAAACCTGATCAAGGGGACCTCGCCTGAAATAAGGAAATCAAGAATCAATTAGGCTAAGGTCGTGCTTGAGAAGCAACACTGGTGAGCCGAGTAGACAATGCCGAGGTCGAGCACTCAGATCGGCCGAAGCGGCTAGTTTAGCAATAAGATATTTTAAAGGAATATTCAGAGGAATATTCTCTGTATTTGTACTTTCAGTAGGTAAGGGGTATGTCGTATAAGTAGGAATAGAGAGAGAAAGAAGTGGATGCAATATTCTATCTTGATAAGCTCTCTCTAGAAAAGTTGACTCTCAAATAACAACAAATACTATCTTTACATAAGATTCGATTTGTTGTTTTGTCCAAGCTTTCCCACATCAGATCCAATAAAGTATTTGATATTTCCACGTTTGGTTATGTTACATCATTGTCAGAGGCAGAATCCTCCACCTCATTATACATTTGGGTGAATCATTCTCTCTATTTATGCTTATTGCCATTTATCATATTTATTGTTTGTCCTCACCCCTCCATTCATTCATGACAATATCATTAAACATCTTTATGTCTTTTAATAGCTTTGAATGCGGTTTAAGACTATTGCTATCCATTAATCTTGGATCTATGATTTATTATATTTAACTAGAATTAACCCATTATCAATTATTTAATTAGTTTAACAAAAAGGCTTAACACTTTTTGGTCAAACATTTTGGCGTCGTCTGGGGATTTTCTAGCTAAAAGTGTTAGTTTTTTCTAGATCTAAAAAATACACAAAATGCACAAAACTTTGCAAAATCTTGTATCTTGTTGTTTGCACAAACCTGACATGGCACGCAATGGAAGAAAAAGAGAGAAGAGGACGAGGAGAACGTGACACCAAGCTCCTCACCTAGGCGAAGATTCAACCCTCCCTCCCCCCCCCCCCCCCCCCATGGCCGCGTTACCGCTTCTCATGGAAAGGGAGCCTCTACGTCCACCACGGAAGAAGCACCACCAGCGGTGAAAAAGCTATTACAAACATGGCTAACGAATACACTGAACAATATACTCGACAAACCCACTTAGAGGGTGAGCAGAGAGGGTGTGCGAGTCAACATCGCCACGACAACCAACGAGCAACACACCCAACCTCCCTCGACATGTATCACGCACTCTGTTAATGATGTAGGTAATGACGCCCTCTCCTCCATCCTTAGAAAAATGGAGGAGACGGAGAACGAGAATAAAGCACTCCGTGACCGAATTAGAGAGCATCAAGAAAGGGTAGAAAAGATACCGGGCGCCTCAAAACTCCTACCAAAGCGGGACGCTGGCTAGTTTGTGGAACAACCGTATAGCGACGAGGCCGCACCACATGCTATACCAAAAACTTTCAAAATGCCGCCATACTTGAAAATGTATGACGGCACGACGGACCCGGAGGATCATGTGACCCACTATGTTACTGCAGTGAAAGGCAACGACCTTGAAAAAGAACAAGTATCGTCCATATTGCTGAAAAAGTTTGGAGAGACCCTGACCGGCAAGGCCCAGACTTGGTACTCGCAGTTACCTACGCGCTTCATAGATATGTTCGAGGAAATGGTCGACAATTTCGTCACCGCCCATGTGGGGGCCAAGAAAGCAGAGGCAAAGGTGAACGACATATTCGCCATCAAGCAATCACCCAGCGAAGGACTCAGGGACTTTCTCGCCCGGTTCAACCGTATAAGAATGACCCTTCCGAATTTATCTAAAGGAATAGCGGTGGTCGCCGTCCAAAATGGGCTGAGCAGAAGTGGGTCGCGAGCGACCAAAAAGTTGCTAAGCCGACTCATGAAATACCCTCCAACCAGTTGGGATAAGATACACAACGCCTACTTTGCCGAGGTAAGAGCTGACGAGGATGATTTTAACGGACCTACTCAACGTCTAACCTCGGTCCAAATGGAGTCTAGGAAAGACCGAAGAAACGAAAGCAGAAGAGATCTAGAAGGGTCACGATCTAATCGAGAAAGACATCAGCCTTACGTCAGAGGCACTCTCATGCCGCCTCCACGTCACAATGAAGGTCCATCCAGGCCGCGAACGGGAATCCACCGAAATGAAAGAGGTACGCCCCCCTTATTATCAGCTCACAATTTTTGTGTTTTCCCTCAAAAATAGTCTACTCATTGCAAAAGCTTAGCCCAAAGGTAAAATGTCCACAGAAGATGAAGTCCGACCCAGCACCAGAAAGTCAAATGCCCTCTGCGAATTCCACCAGGAACGGGGTCATAAGACCGAGGACTGCATCGCCCTTAGACAGGAGGTCATGAACATGCTTCACCAAGGGTACCTAAAAGAGTTGATGAGCGATCGAGAGAGGGCCAACTTCGCCCGAGGGTGAGAACAACATAAGGGGCCGCCCAAACCACCTTCCCCAGTACGAACCATTCAAATGATTATCGGAGGAAGCGACGACGCATCCATCAATAGTGTGAAGTTCACCACCACTCACAAGCTCAAGCGGTCAATCACCCACGAAAGGTATGACGAACTCGAAGAAAGTATCATCTTCGATAAAACGGATGCCCACAGTTTGGTCTTTTCTCACTATGACGCCCTTGTCATTACTTTACGTGTTTTTGATACCGATGTAAAACGTATCATGGTCGATGATGGAAGCGGCATGTGCATCAGCCATCCCCGAGTTCTCTCCCAAATAAAGCTCGAGGACAGGATAGTGCCACGGTGCATCACGCTAACAGGTTTTAACAAAGCAGTTGAGCGGAAATTTGGAGAAATCACGCTGCCCGTCCTGGCCAGCGGCGTCACCTTGGAGACCATGTTCCACATCATGGACCAGGATACAGTGTACAACGCCATCATTGGACGACCATGGATACACGCCATGAAAGCCGTCCCCTTCAGCTTATACCAAGTCATTAAATTTCCCACCCCCATGGGGAGTATTCTACATCCGGGGAGAGCAACACACGGCCCGAGAATGCTACCGCATCGCCTAAGACTGCACATACACCCAACAGTTAAAAAGCCAAGGAAGCATAGCAATTAGCAAAGTCGGGGTTGGATGGCAATGAAAAGAAAGACGTCATCAGCGACCCTGAAATCATAGAAGTGACGAGGTCAACCATGGAGGATCTCGACCCCGTCCAACTAGACAACGACGACCACAACAAGAAAGATTTCATCGGCCATAAACTCCATGATCTAGGTAAATTTCATCAATTCTTAAAAAATAATGTAGACCTATTTGCTTTTTCCAATGCTGGCGTGCCAGGTATCCCAAAGGAAATAGCAACTCACAAGTTGAACGTCGACCCATTTTACCCTCTAATAAGGCATATCAGACGAAAGGTCAACTCTGCAATAAACGACACAGTTCGCGAAGAGGTCAAAAAATTGTTAGTAAACGCTTCTATCAGAGAATCGAAGTACCCTCAGTGAGTCGCCATGTAGTCATGGTGAAAAAGAATAAAGGTAAGTGGAGAATGTGCGTGGACTTCACAGATCTGAACAAAGCCTAACCAAAAGACTCGTTCCCGCTGCCGCACATCGACCAACTTATCGACGCCACAGCCGGGAATGAACTACTGAGTTTCTTGGATGCCTACTCGCGCTACAACCAAATCCTCATGGAGGAGGAGGACCAGGAAAAAACCTCATTCATCACCCATCAGGGGACGTACTGCTACAGAGTGATGCCGTTCGGGTTAAAAAACGACGGGGCAACGTACCAGAGGCTAGTGACCAAAATGTTCAAAGATCAACTCGAAAAAACCATGTAAGTATATATCAACGACATGTTGGTTATGTGAAAAAGGAAGGAAAACCATATCACCACTTGGGGAAGGCCTTCGACATACTCAGAAGGTACGACATGAAATTGAACCCCGAGTAATGTGCTTTCGGCGTGACATCTGGAAAATTCCTTGGATTCTTGGTATCACAACGAGGCATCAAGGTCAATCCCGACCAAATCAAGGCCATAAAAGGAATCAAAGAAAATCTAACCAGCAAAAAACAAGTGCAAAAGCTGACCGGCCGGATAGCCGCCTTGTCAAGATTCATCTCGCGATCCTCTGATAGGTGCCATAATTTTTTTGGCGTACTCAAAAAGGATTACGGACTCCAATGGAATGCCGAATGCATCAATGCCTTAGAAGAACTGAAGGCCTAACTGTCTTCACCGCAAAACCCGGAGAACGCCTCCTTGTCTACTTGGCCGTGTCCGATGTCGCAGTAAGTGATGTCCTGGTACGAGAAAATAAAGGTATGCAATCTCCGATCTATTACATTAGCAAAACTTTTGTCTACGCTGAAACGAGGTACCCCCACCTCGAGAAGATAGCTCTAGCCCTGGTCGTAGCTTCACGGAAGCTTAGACCTTATTTTTAGTGCCACCCCATCTCGGTAGTCACGAATTTTCCTTTAAGAATATCTTGCACAAACCTGAATTGTCGGGCAGATTGGCCAAGTGGGCCATAGAGCCGAGCGAGCACGATATAACCTATCAGCTGCGAATAACGATAAAGTCGCAAGTTCCTGCCGACTTCGTCGCCGACTTCAATGCGAAGATAATGTTCGAAGTCGAAAGGGAAACCGCCATTACTTCCACCAAAGTACACGACCAATAGGTCTAGTACACTGATGGCGCTTCTAACACATCAGGATCTGGACTGGGACTCGTGCTCGAGGTCCCAACAGCCGAAATGGTACGCCAATCCATGCGATGCCCTCATATTACTAACAACGAGGCCGAGTATGTGGTCGTGATTGCAGGGGTAAAATTAGCACTCAAGTACGGAGCACGACGAGTCGTCCTTCGATGCGACTCACAACTCGTCGTCAATCAGGTCATAGGGACTTTCCAAATTAAGGAGCAACAGTTACAGAAATATTAGGCCAAAATTTGCAAACTATTACCCGAGTTTGACGAATGCCAGCTTGATCAAATACCCCGAGCGCAGAACATCAAAGCGGACGGCCTCGCCAAATTGGTAGTGGCCACCAAAAGCATAACCGGAGAGGGAGACGTGGTCACTCTGCTCCATTCATCACTAGACCAAATCGTGGTACGATCTATAAACCTAACTTGGGACTGGCGCAATCATATTATCTCATACTTACAAGAAGGAGTGCTCCCACCCGACAAAAAAGAATCCAAGAAGCTTCGAATGCAAGCGGCCAGGTACACGAGGGCCATTGCAGAGCTCACACTAGCAACCGAGCTCTCGTTAGATGCCTCATATGGGTGCATTCGCCCAAATATGCGAGCAAGAAGTAATCACGTTCATATGGAGAAAAAGCATACGGCATCCCCGAAAAACTCAGCTGTGACAATGGTCCCCAGTTCACCGACAAAAAGACCGCCGAGTTCTTCGAAAAATGGAACATCAAAAGAATACCCTCCACTCCATATCATCCTGCAGGCAACGATCAGGCAGAATCCTCCAACAAATCAATATTGAATATCACGAAAAAGAAACTCAAAAACGCCAAGGGACTGTGGCCGGAAGTGCTGCCAGAAGTGTTATGGGCATATCGCACCTCGTCGAAGACGAGCACAGGGGAAATGGCCATACTCACTAGTCTATGGGACTAATGCAATGATACCAGTTGAGGTCGGGGAGCCAAGCCTTAGTTACTCAAATGAAAGCGGGCCAAGCATCAACGAGAACAGAAGTCAAGACCTCGATGAAGCCGAAGAGCGAAGAGACATGGCCTACATAAGAATGATAGCTCAAAAACAACAGGCAGAGCGTACTACAACAAAAAAGCCAAAATCAGGCCACTCAAAGTCGGGGACTACGTACTCAAATCCAAAACACAAGCAAGCAAAGACCCACGAGAAGGCAAGCTGGAAACCAATTGATACGGCCCATACAAAATCACGCGGCAGTAAGCAAAGGGTCTTCTAGCTGGAAAAAACGGAAGGAAACTTACTACCAATGAAATTGGAACGTCGCCCACCTCAAATACTTCAACTTCTAAGGATAGACGTCTCCTGAGCCTTACTCATTTTTCACTTACCCGAGATTTGTCCCGATTAGGTTTTCTCGGGGAGGTTTTTAATGAGGCGACGAAGATAGCATCTCGAAGTTAAGTACAAGTTCATCGCTCAACCTATCAACTACTTTCCAGGTCGGCCAATGAAGGGGCTAGATAGACTGGGACTTCGGAAAAACATGTAAACTTCTCCAATGTATGTAAACTTCTCCAACGAATGTATAAACAAAGCTACATATGCAAACACACGAGTTTTTCATCTCCGCCAAGTTCATACATTACGCCAAGTTAAGAGTCAAACATTTGACCCTTCTCGAATCGACTCATATTCGACCTCACTCGAACTGACTCACATTTAATCTCGCTCAAATTTATTTACATTCGACTTCGTTCGAATCATTTAGAGTCAAACGTTCGACCCCGCTCGAATCGACTCACATTCGTCCTCGCTCGAATTTATTTATATTAGACCTCGTTGGAATCACTTAAGAGTCAAACATTCGACCTCGCTTGAATTTATTCACATTGGACCTCGCTCGAATTTATTTTAATTCGACCTCGTTCGAACCACTTAAGAATCAAACATTCGACCTCGCTCGAATCGACTCACATTCGACTCCGTTCGAATTCATTAACATTTGACTTCGTTCAAAGTTTATTAACAATTGAACTTGTTCGAATGAACTAGAGTTCGACCTCGCTCAAATTTATTTACATTCGACCTCGTTCGAACCACTTAAGAATCAAAAATTCGACCTCGCTCGAATCGACTCACATTCGACTCTGTTCGAATTCATTAACATTCGACTTCGTTCGAAGTTTATTAACACTCAACCTTGTTCGAATCAACCATGTTCGACCTCGCTCAAATTAATTGACATAAGACCTCGTGTGAATCAACTAAGTTAGGAACTCTTACAAAGGAAAAATCATGTGAAGAAAAGCGAAAAGAGCCAAGAACATACAACACAAAGTCAATAGNAATGTACAGCGTAAGAGAGTGTCGTGAGATTATAGTATGGGAGTCAAGTCCGAGGTATACAAGGTTCGTTTGCCGTAGATGGTTTACGCCCAGCAACACCATCTCCACCTTCGCCCATGCCATCTGCATACTCATCGTCATACTAAGGATTAGATGCAAGCCCATCCAAGTTCTCTTCATCATCGCCGTTCCCCGGTGTGGCAGGGTCATAACCACAGGCAAGCCTAGCATCACGTGCCTTAACACGGGCATCTTCATAGTCGGCCTCAGGAACCTTCCCTGCCGCCATCAAGTTCCTATATACGTCTAGCTTTTCCTCATCAT